ACAGAATATCAGAATATACTTATCTGATTCTATAACATAGAAAGAAAAAAAATAGGTGTAATTAATATGTTCGCTTAGAAAATAAAGACATTAATACCATGATGCCAAAAAAACATATGCACAAAAGAAAGAGAGAGAGAGAGAATACAGTTCTCTGGTATAGCCTATATCAAAAGGTCATTTCACTTTTCATCTATGTCCATGACCGAGTTGACATATATTAACATACACATCAGATACACCCTTGCTTGAATCTGGATTTTTCTCATGGCCAGTCCACTGGAACCTGTTAATCTCTTGATATGCCTTAGTAATTTTAATTTAAGACTTCCAATAAATGAATCCAAATTGCAAAACGTAAAGGTAAGAGAAGAATGGTGACTTAACATCTGCATACGAAATACTAAAGTGAGACAGTCACAAATGACACCAGTTTGACACAACTAGATGATATCTACATATGTATGCATGTGCTTCAAATTTGATGAATCCATAGAAGTTAACAATAATGACAGAAAAATAAGGAGCATGCCTCCTCACTGCTGAAAGTTCCTCTTCTGTTGGGGGGTTGGGGAGAGAGGAGACATCTAATGTAGTTGTCTTCCTTATGTAGGATGCAAAACTCAAGATAGTAAAATAAGTACACATAGTGCAAAAAACACCAGCCAAAATAAGCTCAAGCCTGACCAAATGGAACCCAAAAGCCAATCCTGCAGAATTTCATTCCAATTATCAAGCAATTATAAGAGAAAAACCTGGAGATTCATATAGCTTGAAATTCAATCTAATTAAACGAGTTCCCAAAGTTCAATACCCAAAAGAATGTCAAACCTCTGTCATCCAAGGAATTCAAGCAGACATTATTAAAAACCTTAATTTGTTTGTAACACTGTTGTGAAAGGTGATCGCCTCGTTGCCAACAGCGAGAGGCGAGGTGACCCTTCATCGCCTATTAGCTTTGTGGTGAGGCGACCTTCAAAAGGCGATGTCAGGGTGAGAAAGGCTAAGGCATCGCCTTTTGTATTTTCTTAAAAAAAAAAGGTGACAAGTTTAGGGATTTAAAAGTTAAAAGGTAATTTTAGGGGTTCCTTTCCAAATTTTCCCAGTTGCACTCTTAAACTACGACTGAGACTCCAACTAGTCGACTTGACTAGACTTTTCCAGCGACCCCAAAGTCCAACCAATATGTATTTCCTTTTCTTTTCTTCTCCAAATTTCTTCTTCCTTTGTTTCTTTTTCCTTCTGCTTCTTCATACTTCAGAGTTACTTCTACCGCTGTTTTTCTCCTCAATGATTTGACTTTTGTTCTGTTTTTTTCACATTCAAGTTCTAGACTTTTAGTATGTACTATCTATTTAAAGTTTTTAAATTGAAATATTTGCTAATATGTTAGTGCTATTGAGATTTTGATTATTTATATATGCAATTAAATATTTTAATTTTTTGGTATTAATTGGTACCACTTCAAAAAGGCGAGCCAGACCCTTGTCGCCTTTCGCCGTCCAAAACACTGGTTCGGAAAAACTAAAACTAGGTTAGGAAAACCATAACTACCTATCCTAGCTATGAATCTGATCAGCCATTATCAGTAACCTCATGTTTCTCCAAAGAAGAAAAACAAAACTAGATTAGAGGACCTACAACTCTCCATGTAAACTGCATGGATCATCAGTGGAGAATCCAAGAAACACCACATTTTGTCCTACCACAACCATGGGAACGCTTCAAAGTACCTGATTTTAAATTAGAGGAGAAATCACATTTTTTATCCCCCTGACATATACCTCACTCTGTCGTTGCACATTATTAGTTTCAACTATTAGTTTTTAGCAAAAAAATCCTTCTTTTGATTTTTTTAATTATAAAATAAGAGGAAAAGAAATATTTCAAGCTAAAGTACACTCCGTCCTTTCCCACCTGCAGTCTACCATCTCCAGTCACCCCTTCACCTCCCAAAGATGAGGGAAGGAGGAGAAGGAAGAGCATAGGAAATAACCTCCTATTATAAGGTTGCATGAAAGCACCAAAGAAGCAACAAGGATTCAGAAATCAAATCATAATCCTCCATTACAACATTGAAAGAATACATACAGGGGCAGAGGCACGTGAATCCAAGGGGCGTCATCCGACACCGCTTGGTCAGGAAGTTTTTAAATTTGTATATATATATTATGATGCAAAAGAAAGTATGGAGTAAATACTAAAGACATGACACTGCTTGACAGAACACCTTCAGTAGCTTACTGGTAAGAAGCTTCAATGTTTTACTTGAGGTTACATGTTCGACCCTTGGCTTGAACCCTCAACGCCATGCTTAAAATGGAGAAACTAATACAACTAGCCAACTTCATTGAATTTAAAAATCTGCTCACATAGTATTTAAGTGCAAGTTTGACTAGCAATCAATAAATGCTTTAATATTGTTGTGAAATTATATTTACTCGAACACCTTAAAATTCTAAGTTTGAAAAAATTATTCATTTATTTGAGATCCACTTGAGCTTCTAGCTGGCTTTCTAAACTTTCTTTCAACCTCTCTCGTTTCAGAAGAAAAGGCGGATTCTTTCATGCTCGTATACCAAGAAGCAATTGAAAAAAAGTTTTCATTTTACAATTTGTAATATTTGGAGATTACAGTTGCTTTGCAGTTTTTGAAGATTAAATGTGTTGCGTGCTGCTCTTTTAATTGTAAGTTCTTTTTATATCCCCTTTTTAGTTGGAATTTGTAGAAAACATTTATCAATTTTTCTTGGGGGGGATTGGATTCTATATAATTAAATTCATCTACGGTTCATTTGAATTTATATTTTACTTTGCAATGTATCTGGAACTTAGTTTTCTAAAATATGACGTCACTGTAGTATTCATTTTCACTTCTTTAATGTCGACACTGCTTGCGAGAAATACTGCGTACGCCACGGAATACATATGTACATCAACTCTGAAACTTGATCCTTTTTCCTCAAAGGACTCCTTATACCAGTCAGGAAACAATTCTATACTTATATTTAAACAATAGTTGCCAAAATGCTGGATATTCTCCTAAACAAAAAAACTAACTGTTTCCAATGCTCTCTGCAAACGGCATGAATTATGGAGTGATAAAAAGAGAGCCTGACAATAGAAAGACTGACCTTTAAATTCTGAGGTGTAAGTATACCCACCCGACCTGAGCATAACTCCAAGAAGACAACCTGTCATCAACTATCCAGTATAAATCAGACTGACATTCAACACATAAAAAAGAGAAAAATATAGCATGCACCACAGGCGATTGTTAGAAGTACGACCTCTGGTTTCAAGAAATTGATTACTGCTTCAACTTCTTGGCAGGATTCCTGTAACCATGCATAGTAAAGTTAAGATGATTATACACCCCTTATAACTCAATCTGTATTACATCATCAGTTTCTTTAATATGAACAATTAACTGGATTAAAGGTCAATATTTATATATATAGGTCACATATAAGGCTTCAAACTTTATCAATCTAAGCAAGATAAAGGAGAAAATAAGAAAGACAAGGTATGAAAATAAAGAAAGTACATATTCATACACGCTTAGTTTATATGATGAGGCATGGGAACTATTGCCTTATGTCACGTCTTTTAATATTATTTAACATCTTAACTTCAAGAAGTGTCCATCCTATTCGTCACCAGCTGATGTTGAGTCAAATATAAGACTAAACAATATCTCATCAGCAATGGTCACAAGATATCTAATAATAATCCTATGTTGTTAGAGCATCATTTCAGCAAACTGTTATTGATGATCTACTAATTCCATCTCTGCTATTGGGAGGCTGGATTATACTAAAATTAAATACTAATCTTAAGAAGCCTTATGCATAAAAAGTACTTTTAAGTGTGAATACTAAAATGCAATTAAAGAACAGTAAATTTACCGAAGAAACGTGAGCAGTGCCAACAACATACACATCGCAAATGCCTCCATTGGCAGAAGAATCACAAGTTAGCATCATTACACTCCTCGACAATTCCTCCGGCAAAACCTTCCTTTCATATCCTTCTCCTTCACCTTCTACATTCGCCGAAATTACCTCTTCAACTCCTTGCTCCTCCACAACACTCGCTTCCGAGCCTTCCGAATTCAAATTAGCAACTTCTCCATCAACGTGAACAAAATCCTCCACCACCGACGCCGTCATCGGACTAGAACTCATCTCCACCGGCATACGCCTCCCGGTGACCGCCGAGTAAGAGGAGGAAGATTTGCACTTCACGCAGATCGATGAAAACGTAGGACTTGCGACGGGATATTTAACGGTGAGAGATTTGACCGGGAAATGACGACGGTGCGGTGAGCCGGTGAATGAGTTGAACCGGTTCGACTCGGCCGAGTTGAGAACGGTGAGTTGGCGAGTCAATCGACGGAGCATGAAGATTTTCAGATGTAACCGTTTCTATTTTACTGTTTTTATATACCTTGCTTTGGACACAAGAGATCATGACACGTGGCAAGATTGGTGTGACTCTAATTGTTTGCTTTCTCATACCTTACTTTTATTGCTAAGTTTCGTATGTTATGACTAGGATCGATTGATATGCGTGATGAGATATTGAATTTACACATCATAACATAAATCGTTTAGTATGTATAATGAGATAGAAAACGATAATACATCGAATTTGCACATTATAACTTTGGATCATTTGATATGTGTAATGAGATAGAAAATAATGTATAAAATTTATACGTTAAAATTTTAATTATTTCATACGCGTGATGAGATAGAAAATAATAATTCACCGAAGGACATTTTAGAATATTTTTAATCCTTTTTCTTTAAACAAAAGATAGTGTTGGATCATTAGCACTAAATAAAGTTATAAAATGTTTTATTTCGTGAATTTTAATTTAATCGGGACGATGCAAATATTGAAGACCAATGAAAATAAAAGGTATTTTATTTAGAAAAAAAATTAACACTCTACATAAAGTGGTAGTATCCATCTATAGCCATCCGTAAACTGTTGAGGTGGTATCCAAAATTAGGGTTCTGAGAACTCTGGATTTTGCTCGGTTGTATCGATCCGTTTTCTTGTGAGCTGAGAATTTCTCTGCTGCAAATACAAATCCCAATCCCAATAATTTTGTATACAAAATCGATGATGGTGGAAAGGAAGCTGTATAAAACGAAACTATGCATGCTTTATCAGAGAGGTCGTTGTCATCGTCAGACTTGCTCTTTCGCTCATGGCAATGCTGAGCTCCGTCGCTTCTCCGGTTCCGGTGGCGGTAATTTTGTTATTTCTCTATTTTTACTTGTTTAACACTTACATACAGCTATACTACGTTTTACTTGGCCCATGTTCTGTTTTTTTTTTTCTTTTTTCTGATGATGACTATCAGTTTTTGTGCACCTCCATTAATTCTACGGTATGATGCTATCTCCCACCCACAATAGGTAACTCAATCCACCTAGGCTGAGCATGAACAGATGAGAAGAAATCTTCTTTTTGTTACTTGGCCATGTTTACTTTGACACTTCCATCAAGAAACTATTTTTTAGGGTTTATTTTACTAAATTAACCCTTTGAAGATGAGGATAATATTGGGACAAGTGAGGCTTGTTCAAGTGGTTGAGCACCTCCACCATGAATAAGTAGGTTTGAGGGTTCAAGTCATGCAGGAGGGAGTGGAAAAAAATTAAAAAGGAAAAAGGATAGTATAGGAAAAAAATTATAGTTTTTTTTATGACAAGGGAAACCCGTAGCCGCTACCCTTTGGGTGCGCACAGGGTAAAACCCCTGCTCCTCTGCAATAGCTCGCAAACCACACAAGAGAGTTAATTTGCACCAGGCAAGCTTGGTGCGACGAGCTCAACCCAGAAGGCAAACCCCTTGCTTTTGCTGGCAAGGGGTTTCGAACTTGAGACCTCCAACATGGAAGTCTCAAGCCCAAACCACTAGGCCATCCCGAATGATAAAAAAAAATGATAAATTTATCTTGGGGAAAAAAATCTATTTTTGGCATAAGATCCAAGTAAAATGCATCAGGTCTCAAATTAGTTGTCATGTTTCGCTTCTCGAGAGTTAGTTTGATTAATCTTTCAAGCTAAATTGGATAGGATTAATTCATAACTCAAGATAATACGCATGCTGAAACAGGCTATTAAATTTTTCACATTGTCAATTTGCCTTACTGGATGTGTTCATATGGGACATCACATGAATACTGAACTTCAGTATTTTCAAATACTGGGGATAGTATTCATGGGTGAAGCAGGCTCTTAATATTCATATTTTTCATCTTACCTTATGAACATGTTCTTATACGACGTTACATGATACTAACACTGCTTAATTTATTTTAAGCTTATTTAGCTCAAGTGTCAAAAGGTCTTACATACTTTAAACAAATTTAAGGTACATTTAAAAACTGTAGTTTAAACTTCATGCCTAATCCTTCTTTTCCATTTTAGGTTGTCTGTGAGTATTGTCAAAACCTTTAAGAAGCCAAAACATTTGATAATTTGGAGAAGCTCCATTAAAGTAGTATACATAAAGAGCCTACACAAAATATGGTTCTCTACAAATGACAACAATCTGCTCTATAAACAAGAACCTTATCAGTGCACCAAACACCAAGAATAAGAGGATATTTCTTAAATGCAAAAAGTCATATTTTCTTTTACCAAGACACATTCATTTTCTTTATCTCAAAACTCTCTCTCCTAAAACAAAACTCATGTGATGCCTAAGGGGCACATATCATACCAGGGTTGTGAAAGGCAAGCTCACCTTATCACCTTTGGCAAGAGGCAAGGCCTTATCGCCTATTACTAGCTAGGCGTCAGAGGCATCACTTTTTTTTTCTTAAAACAGACTTGCTTTAATAATTAAAAAGCAATATTAGGCTTTATTTGGTGTTTTGGACATTACTAGCAAGGCGATCTTGAAAAGGCACGTGGCGATGCGGCGAGGCAACAAAGGCGAGGCGACAGAGGCATCACTTTTCTTTTTCTTTTTTTTAAAAAAAAGATCTGATTTGATAATTAAAAGGCAATATTAGGGTTTATTTGGTATTTTGGACAAACACGGCGGCTCTCTTCTCCCTTTTTCTCTCCAGTTCAACTTTGCGACCTTCAGCTTCGCGACTTCAGCTCCTCTCTTCTTCTTCTTCAGTCCTCTGCTTCGCGACCTCAGCAGGTACGTTTTTCTTCTTCTTCTTCTTCTGCTGCTGCTGATAAAGTACCAATTTACATATGTAATCATCCTCTGTCAAATTCTCATCTGTCAAATAATTTTCCGTTGCTGCCAGTCAAGCGAAGAAGCACATCTGTCTCTTTCTGGGTGCGTTAGAATCCAAATCAATGTATGCGGAAAGCCAGACTTTCCTCTTACCAAAACTTGTGGTAGTATGACATTAATGAAAACACTCTAGCTCTCCTCACCCCAATCATTGAATTCATCAACTTCCTAGTAAATTCCTTCTAAATATCATGTCCTGCAGAACTCCTCCTCCTTGTGTCCTCAGAGTCTGTTGCACATTCTTCTTTCTGTCTTGAGATTTTAGATAAGTTGGGAAGGAAATCCACAATGTGCTCTCTCCGCACCACCTGTTGCCCCAAAAATTAACTCTACTTCCAACACTTACCCTTCCAACTCCTTGATATAACGATGCCACTCTGTAAGCTTCCCATCCTTCTGAGATAGTCCTCCATAGTCCACATCCATAAGGTAGTGTGTTGTTTTTAGTCACCATAAGATAGCGTGTTGTTTTTAGTCACCTATCCTCCTTTTTGTTGATATTTTCTTGCAACCCCCCCCCCCCCTAAAGTATGTTCCTCCTCAGTTTGTTGAGAGCGTTGCTTCCTCTTAACTAATTCTTCCGACTGGTTCATAAATATAAGAGTAAAGAGTTCATGAAGTTTCATCTTGCATTCCACTTCATTTTTTATTTGTGTTTGTTTCTTATATTTAACATTTTCTAGTGTAGTATATTGTAAAATTTATTGAAGGAATGAAAGAGAAACAAGATAATTTGTATAAGTAGTTAAGTATATCAGATATCACATATCAGGAATATTCTCTTACCTTTCGTGTCAGCTCCCGTTTTGCTTGTCAATCATTTCTGAATAATTTGGGACTAGAGAAAACTGAAAAAGTTAAAATTATAGGAAATGCATTAGTCACCTATCAAAGGAGCAGGAACCTATCCATATCTTGATCATAAATTCTCATTAGATATATTTAGTATTCTTTCCTTGTTCTACATTTTTTGTTTTGCAACTTTTGTTTTTTACTATTATGAAGCTTTTTTGGCACCTCTCTGCTATCTTTTGGTTAAAATTCAGTGTAAGAGTGTTGTATCTGTGTACTGATGTTACTGAGTTGAAGGGAGAAATTTCACACTTCAGGTTATTCTATTGGACAGTGAATAAAAGCCTATCAACTGACAGGTTTTAGTATTTCTTATCAGAAAGGAATTTGCTGGTTGCTTTATCTTTGTGCTGCTTATGGTATTTTTCTCAGCATCTTGGTTAATCATATTGCATCTTGAAGCAGCAGCGCATGAGAGATCAGGAATGTTTCTCTGGATATAGTATCTTCCATATATTATTTACAAATCTGCCAGCTTGATGAACCATATGAATGCTGTGCCCTAGTAATGTCTTCACCCTTATATTCCTCGAGAATATGGTGTTCCCTTCTTGTGACTTCTGTTTGAATGAATCTTCAAAGGAACCTGTTGGATGGTATTTTTGTCCAAGAAGGCCTGTTTATTATCCTATATATTGTCATGCGGCTTGGATAATCCATATCCTTTTGATATGGCTGCTAGCAGATATATGTGCTGTAGCAATTTTTTTACCGAGCAAGATGCAAGGATGTCTACTACTTCTGTTGGTTCTATGATATTTGAAGCTCTTCTGGGTAAAAGCTCAAAAAATTGGTATTCTATATCTGTTCATTGTATGAGAGAGGTAGTTTCTATGGCTCCTTTTGGAACTCACAGGAAGGCAGTATAAATATTTGCTGTTATGTTTCTCTTGTAGTTTGATGTATTGGTAAGATTAGCTCCATTATTCATTCTTGGTGATTTAGTTGGTGTGAATTTGATCAATATGTTGAATCAACTACTGGATGCAGTTCAATTAAAAATATAATCTTACCATTGCAGAAATGCGAGATTTTCGTGGTCGTGACTTGAGAGAGAAGCTTGATAGAGAGCATTCTCCAGTGCGCAGATACTCCTCTGGTAAAGGGCATTCTCCAGTGGGCAGATACTCCTCTGGTAGAGGGCATTCTCCAGTGGGTAGATACTCCTCTGATAGAGGGCATTCTCCAGTTGGCAGATACTCTTCTGAAAGAGGGCATTCTCCAGTGGGCAGATACTCTTCTGATAGAGATGCAAGAGAGAGACATGCATCCCGTGGTCAGAGCTTGTTTCTTTCACTTTCACTTTACTGTCGTTGTCGGATCTTTATAGACTTATTTACTCCTGCTCATCTGCTGAAATGATAGTCGAGTGATTAAGAGTATTCATTCCATAGAAATATACTTGCTGGAGGTCCTTATTTCTGTCAGGGGATCATGTGAATTTGTTGGCTAGATGTAGCCATAACATAGATTAGGAGCTACTGTATTCTCTGGTTCTCTTTCTCGTCCTTCTTTCATGGTTTTGTCCATTCATATAATATTTCCTTCTGATTTATTTTGCAGGGCGCAGTCCTCCTGAGTCTGTTGAGAGGAGGTAAGTTTATCAATTTCTTGTGTATACTTCATTTTAGGACTTAGTGATACATAATATACAGGTCTCTGTTGACAAATTACATACTCAGGCTTTAGATGGAAATCTTGAACCGACTTCAGGTCACTTAGAAATTAGTTGGGAGCTGATCGAGATTGAATCCATTTCCTTACGATTTGTGTTAGATATATAAACCTTAATTGCTACTTAAAATGGAATTTATTCTGTCTCCAGTTAGACAATTTTATCTTGCAGCATATGCTATATTCCATTTGTGGTAATTGTTTCGATACGGTTAATAAGATCACTGTAAGAAGACCTAAGGTGTCCCTTATTTAATTAATTAAGGGAAATCTCTCAGCAGCTCCCTAAGGGAGAATATTTACAAGCAAAGAGGTTAATTGGCTCTTCCCAAAATCTTGAGATTTCTAAACCCCTTTAGAGAGCATCATTGATCAATTGGTAATTTGGTATGCTTTTCATGATAAAGACAATTTGCTAACTTTCAGATGGTTAATCTAAATTCTTTAATCCTTCTTTTACCTTGACCTGATACTATGTCCATAATTATAATGTTTGAATAATGTCTGTCACAAAAAAATTCATTATGTTCTACTAATATCAGAAAAATGGTATATTGCAGTGATAGAAAGCGCAGGATGAAACATCATTCGGATGGTCAAAGTGACATCTCTGGAAGTTTGAACATGTCAGATGGGACAGGAGATCATGTGAAGGAGAGAAAACATTTATCGTCCAATTCCAAAGATGTCCTTCAGGTACTGGGAGTGGAGAAGAACCTTGTTATCCTAGTTCGCGAATGGCGTTGTTCATCATCCCTTCCTTTTGCCTGCTCTTTCTTACATCCTCATTATAATATATATATATATATATATATATATATATATATATATTTACATTGTAGTGATTTCTGTCTATCCTTCATGTTGCAGCTTAAGCAGTTGCAATCCGAAATCAATATGTTGGATGACGAAAAACGAGAACTAGAGGTTGGTTTTGTTTTTCTTGTAATTGGTTGTTTGCTGCTTAATTGACTTTCTTTTATTGGTCGCTTCTTGCATAATTTTGGAAATAGTCTTTCCACTGAATTCCTTCTTTAATTATATTTCTAAGCAAGTGCTTGCCAGATATGTCTTTGGTATTTTATTATCATATGCATTTATATATATCCTTTTATTTATTTATATATATATATACCAAATCTGATTGGACTATGAATACATGTGTCTAACATGTACATGTGTGTATCGGTACATGCATAAATGTTTTTTTCTTCCTTTTCACTTGTGTATTGCAAAGGTGTAATAAAGATAATGAGATTGGTGATTTAATAATCCATGTATCGCTATCAGGCTATACTAGTATTTCATGAGAAGTCAAATATTATACGAGAAGTAGGGCTCTTCAATCCGTCAGAAGTTCAATATGATTTTATGTTCTTGAGGAAATAAGTCCAACAGACTACAGCTATGTGTCTCGTTGTGTAGTCTTTTTTCCAACTAATCTCTCTTGCTTTCTCTGGTTACCGTTCTGAAATTGTATGTCTATGTCCTGTTTTGGGGTACTACTATATTTGTCATGTATTTTTCACTTTTTTAAAGTCTGAACCTATTAACAGGTAGGGCACATTTTAGACAGGCAGAGATACCGTTTCCAAATAGAGGGGTTATTAGTGAAGTTGTTTGTTATGCCATATATTAGCCACTTTTTTTAATTAACCATGGTGTTTAGGCCGCCAGCTTGTGCGCACCTCGACTAATTCCATGGGGTACCTGCTACCTCCCACTAGCACTACTAGGTAAATTCGTCCAACAAGACTTGAACATGTATGAAGAAATCACCTAGTGGTTTTGCCTCCATGGGATGTGAACCTGAGACCATGGTTTTCGACCCACTTCATGGAAGATTAGTCTATACTAAAAAGGAAGAATAACCCTTTTGGCTTTTGGATTGTTTTTTCTTCTTAAATTAGCTACCCTCTCTTGTTGCTGCTGGTCCTTGATCACAGCAATAGTGAACTTTCTGACCTAAGTTAGAAGCTCAAACCTTTAATCTTTTGTGCTAACTTATAGCAGTGAAATAGATGTTAATTATTAGAGAAGTCTTTCCTCATCTATCTATTTATTCATTTGCCATTAGCAGATGTAAAGGTTCTTACTAATGCTTACTTGCCTCCATTTCACTCTCTTCTTAGTTCTTTCTTCAACAGACTGTTCTACTTCCTTTCTCTGTGCCCTTTTCCTTCTATTTAACATATTCTTTTGCTCCTTGCTCTAAAATTTCGAGTTTATTCCTCAATACTTCTCTTTTTTGGTTGGAACTTGAAAGATATACCTTGAAGAGACAACTTGTCAAGCAGAAAGTCTAGCTTCAAAAAATCAGGAACTAGAGATGGAACTTTTCAAGGAAAAGGAGGAACGTAAAAGGTCACTATTTGTTATAATGCATTTCAAAATCTTTTAATTTGAGTCTGGATATACCTTTTCCTTACATCCTGTCCATCCAATTCTGGCTTTTCCCCCAGGATTATTTTGAAGACTAAGCAGTTCATTGAAGCATATACTAATCACTCACGGTTAGAAGCTGAACTGAAGAGGTATTGTAATAATATTGCTTCTTCTATTGATTTCCTCCTCCCCATCCACTCCAGATTCTTGTCATCTAAAATTATTGGTCAATTTCTGTTACTTTTTGTTTCCATGAACACTCAGTGGTGATAGTGCAATTGTAGGTCAGAAGCTCAGCTTCAAAAGCTCGCTAATAAACTCGGCTCAGATTTCATCAGGACTGGTGCAACTGAAGAGGATTCTGCCATCAACATTAGTGATGGAGGGATGGCTGGTAATCATTTTAGCTCATTGGTTGAGCAGCAGAAGAATACTTCACCTACCAAGAAAAGGCCGAGAATTCATCATGAAGCTGATGAAACGTCAAATCAAGGTAAGAAATGACGATTATGTCTTAAGAGTGTAGCTTTTCAAATAAAATAATTGTACTGGTGCTTCTTATCATTATCTAGTGCTTGCCTTTTTTTATATAATTGGTTTTCTTTCCTGAACAATACTGCCTGGGACCTCAGAGTATGTCTCAGTGCCCTGTTCTATCGGTATATATATAGAGTCGAAGCGGCTGTCGCAGTCTTGGGCCGAAATAACTCATATTAAGTGCTTGTTTCTTGCTCCTCTTTTACAAATTCAGTTCCCCCATACTCAACTGAAGTCAGTTGACTAAGACGGTCTATAAAGATGTGAATAATAATTGAATCTAAGAAAAAGAATATCTTAGATGTTGTGTATAGATAGTTTAAATGAATTTCGATTATTGTATTTGGTGTGACAAGTTACTGTAGTTCTCATTCAGCACTGTGATCTTCTAATCATCATTGCTTATTGTGATGATTATTTTGGCTATCGGAATTTTGGATCTAGACAGATAAAGAGTTCAACAGCTATGGTAGTTAATGCTCTTTGTCCCAAAAAGTTCATCACTTCCTCACTTCCTCACTTCCTGATAGTAAAATATTTTTTCAATCTGGCTAAACGTTCTAACTTCTAAGTATTCTTCTTGTACTTGTCAGCCAAGAAAAAAATATGTGTAATATTTTCTAAATCTCAAATTTTGTTTCCAAAAGGGGATTATCTATGTCCAGGTTAACTTTGAAATTGGTCAACTGATTGTTGAAAAGTGTAATGTGACTATTAGATTTGAAAGATGATGTAGATAACATGGAAGTCGAAATTTCTGTGTTTGCTGATAAGTGATGTGTCTCATTCTTGTAGGTCTGATGCAGCATGATGTTTCTGTCATGTCTCTGAGTGATAATTGTTTTATTTATTGCAATAAATAAGTAGTAAAGTACATTTCAGTGATGGTGCATGAATAGAGGTGTATACAGTGGAGTGAATAGAATTTTTCTAAGGTCTCTCATCTCTTCTATCTATGAAGTAATCTACATATTGGGTATTGATTCTGTGTTAGACGGGATGTGTAAGTCAATTCTTTCACATATACTCCTAGTATATCTTCAGAAATTCTGTTTTAACCTTAGACAGATAGTGAAGAGACCTGCTACTTCAAGAAGAGGAAAGGATGTAGGAGAGACAGAAAAAGTGGGGTGGAGAGGGAGAAAGAGACAAAAAGCAGAAAGTAGAAATCATCGAATATACTGGGCTTGGGATTTCCATGTTGGAGGTCTCAAGTTCGAAACCCCTGGCCAGCGGAAGCAAGCAAGGGGTTTCCCTTCTGGGTCGAGCTCCTCACACCGGGCTTGCCTAGTGCGGGTCCCTCTCCTATGTGGTTTGCGAGCTATTGCATAGGAATGGGTTTTACCTTGTGCGCACCCAAAGGGTAGCGGCTGCGGGTTTCCCTTGTTATCAAAAAAAAAAAAAAAAACTTGTCCAGCTAATCCAAAATAGAATCCTAGCAGCAGATGCACAGGTATATAGAACAAACAATCCACATGATTAAGTTACATGTAACTCCAATTTATGTTGATCTATGGATGCCTTTGATTAGTAACTGTCGTTTCTGTTTCTCAAACATTACTGGAAACTTGGAAAGGGATGGAATACATGCAGGTCTGCAGCCTTAGGCAGTTGAGCTATGCAAAATATGGAACTGTGAAAATAGGAGACAAGTTAGTTATAAGAAATATGACAATTAGCACATCTAGACTAGTAAGTTACTTAATTTTCCGCCTTTCCCCCTAGTTTGTTCTGGAGGGATATATTCTATGATGCTGAGGACATTTGGAAAGCATACATGGATCAATAGGGAATCACAAGGAGAGCTAGAAAAGCAAAGTGGCACCTTAAGTTAATAGCTCATTGCAATAACCCACATTTTTTTGGACATTGTCATGCCTTGAACTGCCTGCTATGTGTAAATAGTAAAATTTTAAGTAGAAAAAATGTAAATGAGGATGGTACACCTTGAAGTCCTTTCTCTACTCATTTGACTTAAAATCCATTCATTCAGTATTGTCCCATCATACTCGTTTTTTTGTTTTTTGTTTTTGTTTTTGATGATTATACTCTAGATGTATGCACGGCAATGCAGCCTTATTTTCTTACCTTAGCGACATTTTAATTTCTAAATAAGAGATGCTCTTTTACTTGAAAATTAATACTATAAAAGTGAAAAAAAAAAGAGTAAGATCCTTAATTTCAGTGATAAATACTTGAGTTTCAGTCTAAATGGTATGAAACATCAATTCTTCAATGCTCTCATTCCTACTTGTGTCTTAAACTTTTCATGTTTGAGTTTACTGTATTTGTACTCCATCTAGACCTTATTTGCCACACTGTATATTTGCAGTATGCACAACATTTGACTCACAGTATCATTAAAGCTCTCTTCTTGTGAAACATTCAACAACATACCCAATGAACATTAGATCTTGAAAATCGAAGTTCTTGAAATCCCTTGTGAATTTGATGTCTCTAAACTCTTATTACCTTTGGCAACTCTCTCTATAACAGCGTCAATAAGAGCAAAAGGAAATGGTGCGCAGAGGATTGCTTATCCTACTCAGCTGAGTAATGAGAAGAAAGACGAGGCACAATTCGATTGGGAGACCGTAGTGGGTGAAGAGAAATCTAAGAAGGGGATAAACTTTTCCAATGACATGACTTTCACTAATAAGGTGCTCCTTTTACTTTAAACTTCATAGCCCCCACTGTCCCACCCACCCCCCCCTCCCCCCCAAACCAGAAAAAGTTGAAGAGGAACTGTGCCGAACTTAAAAAGGAGTTAGGATGTCTCCTTTCATAACTTGGACAATAGACAATTACATTCTTATGCTGATGTTTTTCTGATGCTCTTTTCGATATGGTTTACATTAAATTAACAAAACTGATAAGGAATAGCATGTGGACTTAATGGGAAGTAGGATGAAGTGACAATATGAGGGATCACTTGTCAGAAAAGAGAAGATTTCTTGTGAATGATAGGTGCTACTTTATGATGCAAATCAAAGTTCTTGGAATCTCTTGTGAGTTTGGTTTCTCCGACTCTTTTTACCTTTGGCACCTCGCTCTGTAACAGTTTCGTCAAATGGATAATGGACGGGTCAATTGTCCACTGAGTTTTGAACAGTCCACCACTGGTATTCTGAGGATTTCTTGGTTATCAAAATATTGAAGTATGCATCAGTAGTCCCCTAAATATGGCATATGACTAAATTTGAATATCATTTTCCGTATGGAAGAATGTAACTATGTCCAGTTGTATTATTTTATTAATTTTGCAGCGGCATTTCCTTTGCCTTTGGTGTTTTCTAGATTGAAAAATGGAAGTTGTAGTTTATGCCTGATGGTAGTTGGTCTTAGTTCCATGCTGCAAATAAAAATCAAGGATATTGCATCTTAATAGCATTTTATTTCTTATGCTTGCTGTTGAAGAAATGATGAATGCATTCTTCAAATTCTGCAGCCCAAAGCTTCTGAGATTGCCGTTATTTTGCCATCAACCAGCATGGCCGCTCATGCAAAGGATGAAGATGTCGAAGTTGGTGAGACCGAGGAAAAGTTTGAAGTAGCTGGGAATGCTACAAGAAGAGCTGGGAAGGGAGTTCCTTCTGGTATCGCAGAATATCCTTTTCTACCACCTCCTCCTCCTCTTCCTCGAGGTGCTAGTTTGCAGGTTAATTCAATAACTGAACCAGTTCATATCTAGCATGCAAATGTATGTGCCCGTAAGTTCTTTCTGTTTGCAATCTACTTTAGTGCAACACCATCAGTTTTTAGCTGCTTTTTCGTTGGTTTGCAAAACTATTAGTAAAACTGTGTGAATAGTAAAAAGAAGAAGATTCATTCATGAACTTTGCCCACCCAAGAATTAAGCAGGCAGACTACATTGTAGTCCTCAGATTCTTGCCAAAAGCCGCAGCATTCTCCTTGTTCTTGATGTTTGACCATCTCCAAATCGTTAATCTATATTCATAATTTGTCTGATTATCTGTGATCCTGCCTTGTTTTGTTGTATTCATAAGCTGAGTATGCAAGAGTACTAATTTAATATGAGCAATTCGACTTCTCCTTGCAGTATAAGCGTGATGATGCAGATGGGCGTGATGAAGAGATGTTGGAGGTGGATATTGTTTAGCATAGTGATCAGTATGTTTCCATTGTAGGATGTGACTTTGTACACCGCTGGTGCATATGTAGGGGAATAGAGCTAATGAACTGGAAATTATGGTCAGTCTGGCCAACACATACAAGTGTTTTTGGATACTAAACGTTGTTATCGACCAAACAAACTGTGAATGGTGCTTTTAAGCTTTGGTTACCAGATTTTTTTTTGTGTACAGCAAGCCAGTAGTTTTGAGTCTCTTAATCTATAGTATTTGAGGTGTGCTCGTCTATAAAGAAGACACATAAATTTCCATTACCTCTATAATTGTCACTTGGATATTTCTTATAATTGTTTTGCTTAATTTATACTGAAATCATGCACAACGCTTCAGATATTTACATATAACATTGCATTGACAAAATTGAGACATGCTTGAATTACACCTTATAGTACTCTTGTAGAAAAGCTTAGTGTGGGAAATGGATGAACAGATCCATTTCTAATCACATAAAGGTGCCAATGACAACTTGGTTTATTCACTTTCAAGTATATGACTGTAGGAAGTACGGAGGGTCTCGTAGAAAGTCATTTCACTAATTACTTGGGGGTCATTTGGTGTGATGGATAAAAAAACTTAATCCTGGGATAAGTTATCCTTACCTGAAGGTGGAATAGTAATCACAGGATAACTTATCCTGGGATAAAGTAGATAAAATAACAAAAATAGCCTCTCTTAAACTCTCTTTTTTACACCACTTTAAATTCATGTATATTAACATAATTTTTCACAATATTTATAATAACATTCACAACCTTAATTATTAGTTGTTCTTATGATAATATATTTTTCCATTAAAAAATTATATTTTATAAATACAATTTTTATATATGAATATATTATAAGTTGAATTTATTTGCCTGATTCTTATTTTTATTTTTATTTTGATTTCTCTTTAAATGTTCACTCCACTACTAAATTGCATATTTTTAATTAAATAATTTACTAGTCACTTAAAAATTATATTTTATACATCAATTATAATGTAGATAACTTTAATGATAAAATTTCTATTACTTTAATATATTTAAAATGAAAGTTTTAGTTTTAAGCTAAATAAGATGAATGTTTAGTTTTAAACTAAATACGATGAAAGTTTTATTTTAAAGCTAAATAAGATGAAAATTTTATTTTTAAGCTAAATAAGATGGAAGTTTTATTTCAAGTTAAATAAGATGAAAGTTTAATTTTAAAAACACACGGTACAATCATGAAAATGCACACACAAAATATTTAAGCTAAATAAGATGGAATTTTGTTTTTTTTTTTTTAAAAAAAGAATAACTAATTAAAGCTTGCAAAGTAAATGTAATAAATGAATAAATAAGGTGGAGGGTATTAGCGTAAACAAACAACTTATTCTTAGAAATTATGCAGTGAATATAAGTTTGAATATGACAAGCCAAACAAGCAATAAAAACTAATCCCATCATAACTAATCCCAGCATAACTTATCCCAGCATAACTTATTCCAGTATAACTTATCCCAACATAACTTGTATTCAAACCAAACGACCCCTTATGGGTTAACTAACATATACAAAAAAATGAAAAAATAGCCCTAATTCCTATAAAATGGCTCTTATATGGCCAAAAGTGTAGCGGATCATGGTGAGGTTATATGTATTGCTCTAGGATCCATTTTTGTACATATGTATAGTCTCACTATGAGCGCGACATTTTTGGGCATTTTTATATGAATTAGGTGATTTTCTTTATTTTTGTGTATGTTAGCCCATGAATATTTTGTGAAATGGCTTCCGGATGATTTTTTTTAAAAAAAACTTTATGAGACCTTCGTAAGGAGTTGAGGGAGCAGTACATATAACCTTGTGATGATCAATGACATTTTGGGGCATTCAGAAGCCATTTTATAGGAATTAGGTGATTTTTACAATTTCCATGTGTTAGTCCATGAATATTTGGTGACATTCAGGAGCCATTTTATAGGAGTTAGGTGGTTTTTACAATTTTCATGTGTTAGTCCATGAATATATGGTGAAATGGCTTCCGGACAATTTTTTTGAAAAACTTATACGAAACCCTCTATAAGGAGTTGCTAACCTCACCATGATTTGTGACATTTTTGGGTATTTAGGAGCCATTTTATAGTAATTAGGCTATTTTTTCAATTTTTCGTGTATGTTAGCTCATGAATATTTGGTGAAATGGCTTTCGGGAGAGTTTTTTGGAAAAACTTTATGAGACGGGGGTAAAGAATTGGGGCAGTTGTACGTATAGCCTCACCATGATCTGCGGCAGTTTTTGGCATTTAGAAGTCATTTTTATAGGAATTAGGCTGTTTTTTTTCCCAATCTTTTAGTATGTGTTGGCCCATGAATATTTGGTGAAATAGCTTTCGGACAATCTTTTTTAATAAACTTTATGAGACTCTCCTTAAGAAATTTGTGCAGCAGTACGCGTTGTCTCACAATGATCCGCAACATTTTTGGACATTTAGGAACCATTTTATAGGAATTAGGCAATTTTTATCAATTTTTCGTGTGTAGTATAGTCCATGAATATTTGGTGAAATGTCTTCCGAACGATTTTAAAAAAAAAAACTTAACGAAACCCTCTATAACGAGTTGGGGAAACAGTACATATAATCTCATGATCCACTACATTTTTTGGGCATTTAGAAATCATTTTATAGGAATTTGACAATTTTTTCAAATTTTTGTGTACGTTAACCCACGAATAATGGGTGAAATGGCTTTCCAAACAATTGTTTTTAAACAAACTTTCTGATAATATGGCTTTCAGGCGTTTTTTTTTTTTTTTTGAAAAAAGTTACAAAACCCTTCGTAATAAGTTGGACAAGAAGTACGTATAGATTCACCATGATCCACGACATAAATCCAGCGTAACCAGCCCATCGACTGCCTAGGCATGTGTTTGTTGTTAAATATATTTGCATTATGGAAAACTGACTTTCTTGTGCTGACTAGTTTTTTTCTCAAGAATACAGCACAACAATATAGAATTATGAAGTTACCTGTTCTGCATACAACAGAGTAATATACAAATGTTTTTTCCTTGAACCTCAAAACTATAAAGTTGCAGGTACCAGAAAAAGATGTAATCGAGTTAAAAATATGAACTCACAGCCCAAAGTTGAAGAGGACGGTGAGACCTAAAACAAACCAAAATGTTAGAACTCATTTGGATATGCACCTAAGCAGTTCCGAAAAACTGCTCCAAAGACGTTGAACTGAAGACATTCATAGCAGTTCTTTCTGACTTGGTAGGCGTAATGTGTAGCTCATATTTGATAAATCTCTGCAATCAGTTAGTATCAACACATCAGATTTCAATAGAGGAAAATCACTCGAATCTGCATAGCCACACTGCCATTTAAACAATAATCTGAAAAATCTAATCTCTTAGTGGTCAATACTCGATTAATAAACAGGCAAGAGACGAGTAACTGTATGTGTTTGTAAAAGGCATTCACATTAACAGACAAGAAATTAAAAGGCTAAACTCGCAAATTTCCTAATACCAGAAGAAGAAAGAACATAAATATTTTAGAAAGCCTGCTTAGAATCGTTGGAAATATAACAGAGGTTGAAGCTGTTTCCTTTGGGAAAGAGATCTAACTAATGCATGGTAGATAAACGGATATATTCATTGTTTAATGATACTTCTACTTTTCTTCATGAATTAGTATGTTTTCTGAAACAGAGAAAAAAAATATGATCATGGGACGCTCATGCTGACAGTCAAAGGAAACAAGGAGTACCGCTAATTGAAACACAATTTCCGGATTTGTATCAATGTGCCAATCAGGTTCCAGTTGTCGGACAAATGATGTTCGTCCATTCTCAATGCTACAAAAGAGAACCTGTATAACAATCAAATCAGTAATACATAAATGCATAATACACTTGTACAAGAAAGACGACCATTAATGGCAGGTGACTGCTGAGCCATCAATTCAACTGTTGCATCTTATATCAAACATTCAAATAATGATAGCTGGGATACTAAATCATTTTTATACAACTCAATTCACATTTTGCTGGTACAAATCTACTCTCTATATAGATTTTAACCAATCATTATGTTACTCCCTACATAGTAAAAAACAATAACATTTGGTGATGACTCTTCACAATAATTGAGGACTGCCTATTATCTTCTTTCAAGTAAGACTGTAACTAGAAAGAGAGCCCCTAAATAAAATATGAACAAAGTCGACTAATAGTGTAACGTGAGTAGTAGACCAGAGCTTTGATTGACGAACCTCAATTTTTGGGAATGACGAAAGCTTCTTCAAGAACTCTCAGAGAGATTCATTTGTGCGTGTGTGTGTGTGTGTGTGGGGGGGGGGGGGGGGGGGGGGGGAGAGACCTGTGTATATATACCTTGCAAAGGAAGAGTGTGATACAATTTTCCGGTTGTGAAAATGGTCCAGTGGGTGATGCTGGCAAATTGTTTGTTGTTGCGTCTACTGGCTGTTTTTGGTGAAGCCACCGTGGAGAAAGATAAAAAATCTAGTAGTCTAGAGGTGGTGTAATGGTGTGGAGAGGTGATGGATGGTGTTCCAGATGATGAGAGTGGGTTGGCTGAGATACCAAATTCTATTGTTTGGGAAAATTTGTTCCTTATTTTTTTTTGTTGATGACAATGTATTTTTTTAGAGGTTTGACTGGCCAAGCTGCAGGATCAAAAGAGAGTGAAAGTCACACATTTGTTGTTGGCGTGGATCTGTAAAATTTGTGCTTAATAGACAGTTTTGGAAGCATTAAGTTTTCAATAGGTATGATGATGAGGTACCAAAATGGAAAAAATGTGACAGTTTTAAGCTCTGTCGATGTATTGGGCCTATCTTTTAAGTGTGTAAGAGCATAAAGGAATATAGTTGCAAAGAGGATGGTAAGATTATATTCATGACCCAACAAGGTATGAGAATGTCATTTTTCTGAAAAAAAGAACAAAGTTTAAGTATATAGGTTAAACTTGTCCCCTATAAATTAAAAGAACAGTTGTGCTACACAACTTTAAAGAAGGGACTAGGACGTTAACGTAGTACTAGAAATCCACAAGGAACATATATTTTACAAACCAAAACCTCAGGGGAGACTTTTGTACTACAATTAAAAGGAAATGAATATTAACTTTTCCATAGCAGAGGACATTAGCTTATGTTACAAGATAAAGATCACACATCCAGAACTGCAGAGCAGTTGGAAGAATAAATCATCTCGTCCAGGATGAGGATGCTAATATGCAGACAGAAGGAAAAATATTCACACACGCATGGTTGAGATTAAAAGTTGCAGAGATCACCCATTGTAAAACAAACATAATAACAAGAGCTCCATGAAAGTATTATAAACGGATTTTGACTTCCATTGGCAGTTGAACAATGATTAGTTGTTACCTTGTCTTTGACTATGCCACCAGATGTAAACACTCCAGCATCTTCTAAAGCCAGTAGGACCTTTTTCTGCAAATATTCGTACATTTCAAGAATATGTATGCAAGAAAAAGAATGTGTTGATACAAATGTAGATTACTCATAAAAACTGAATGAGCGTGGATCAACACTGCAGCCACCATTAAGATGCACCATATAGGATAGTGGGTGCTAAGAAATGAATCATGCACCGAATATGAGAACTTCATGAAGTCATGAAATAGTAGACAAGACCAGATGTTCAGAAAGGAGAAACCCAAAAGAAGCTCAAACATGGTCATCTTATCACATTTTAGTTTGACTTAATACCAAAGAAAGCTATTTTGTTAAATTATGCAGATTAGTAAGTGAAAATGTTCTACTAAACAAGTAAACGATGAATGTTGGTTAATGTGTGTGATGATTAATTAATGTGATGTAAGTTTTCCCAAGAAAATAAAAACAGAGAGAGAAGAGTGTATTGCTTAGGCAACTATTTTTTTAGAGTTACTTAAGATTTAGCATCAAAGATCCGTCTTTTTTATCTTTTAGATTTTAAATTTAGGGATCAGTTCAGAAGCCAATTTTATTTGGCATACAAAGCCAATCAACAATGACAGCCTTTTCCTTTTCATTTTGAAAAAGGCATCAAATGACATCTGACCCCCAAAATTATCCTCTCTGAGTCAGGCAATGAAGATAATTTTTTTTAAAAGGGATTAGATCTCTAGCAACTACTAATCAACATACAGATGGAATATAATAGAGTGAGCACTAACTTCACTTTCGTCATCAAGTACTCTCTCCATGAGATAAAGATCACAAAATTTGGTGATTTCGAGCAACACTTCAAGCGCGGAGGATCGAACAGTAGCTTGTTTCTGCAAAGGAAAAGTAAAAACATTGTCAACTGCATGTTTAAAATTGTTGCACAATCAACAAAAATAATAATAACCTGTAGTTCCTCTGGGCTCGTTTCCTCCAGGATTACTCCAAGCAACCGACATGTTACCTGTAAAGTGAAATAATATGCAGATTGTCCAAGTTATGTATGCTACTGTGACAAAAATAAAATAAACAGTCTCTATCACTGTCAAACAGAATCAGGAAAGTGATGCCAGCATGCAAAACCTTGAACAGATAAGATTTGGTTGAGTAGCACATTCTTTCTTAAAATTGAGGTAGAGACTACCATCATTCTCTCAGTTATTTTTGATGTTGCAATCAGTAAATTACTTTATTATATCCTAACTAAGTAGCCGTAAGGCTACCCCCGTTAGAAGTGTAAACTGTGCATGCTAGGGTAGGCTTCAACACAGACTTAGCTAAGAAGAAAATGCAATAACACCAAAGGATCTATATAATATGATCATGATGTCGTTATTGTTGTTACACTTATGTTTGGTCAGTCAGTGTGGTCAATGGCATCTAGTGGCTGACAAGTCCGGTTGCTGTCACAGGCTCTTTTGTTCTGGTTAATGACTCATATGTCCTCACTGTTTGTAGTCGGTTGTTTAGTGTGTTTTGATTGTCGCACTCTGTTTTTTTCCTCACTATTTTCTTACTATTTGTACTTGGATTTGCTACACTTGAGTCGAGGGTTTTTTGGAAACAACCTCTCTACCTCCACGAGGTAGTGGTAAGGTCTACGTACACTCTACCCTCCCCAGACCCCACTTGTGGGATTCCACTGAGTATGTTGTTGTTGACTTCTTCTCGTTGTTATAATGACTCGTATGTCCTTACAGTGATAAGCATAAATTTACAAAGCTAATTTTTAGAAATTCTAATTCGTTTTAAAAAGTACAAATGTATACAGAAATAGCCAACCAAAACTAGTTTTTAGAATTGAGGCATAGTTGGTATAAAATAGGACCTGAATAAAGCCGAATTGAAATAGAGGTGTTTTATATCAATCCAACTAACGTGGGGTTGAGGTGTAGCTGTGATAATAGCAGGGTGCATTTCTACGTGATAATAAAAATATAATTCTATTAACCTACTACAACAACCTCTCGCCTATTTGTGTGATACACTTTCCTTTCTAGTCTATCCCGGAAAGAATGAGATATTTCGCTTTTCAAAAACTATTTGATCTTAACATTGGCGTCTTACCCGTAATCAATGTCTTCTTGGACCCACTTGATATCAAAGTTTATTCTTTTACAAGGCAAGGAGAGTCAAACTAAAAGATATGTGGAACTCTTGTAATCACTTAGCAAACAAGAATACTTTTGGTACTTTGCATATATTTGGCTTACATATCAAAAGCCTGTCTTAGTTTCTTAAACTTAGGGTCCAACCAAACAACTTCACATAAAATGAGACGGAGCATAAAGTTATGCCTCCAATTAATTACTTCCAAACTATACTTCAAATGCACAAAACATTGACAGAAAGAAGCCCCCTTTATTCAATAAACTAAATGGCTACCAACTTATTCTTAGGAAGTTAAGACATTAATTGGACCAAAGAAACAATGATCGCTTGTCAAGTAAAAGATGTGTACTACTCTCTTTTCTTGACAATGGGTTGAAAGGGGAGACACATTGTGCTCATTCATGGTGATGCAAAGGGGTGGAATAAGAAAAGATACTCCACATGTCCTCTACCATATTTTTCAAATTACGAATGTCATAGTGAGAGAGTGAGAGTAAGTTCAATTTTAGGGAATGAATAGATTACAAGTGTAGCAACCTGCCATTTCTGGGATTACGTAGACATTAACTTGAACTTTGAGAAATTTACTCAATTATAGCTTTCCTTTTAACAATTCACATATAAATATGCGGACACACTTGAGACCTCATCTTTGATTGTGTTGGTTTGTTCATTCATAAATTGGGTAAATAAGTACACAAGCACAATACGGATCCTTGGTGTAATACCCATGGTTATAGTCTTATAGGAAACTCCTTTATGTTTTCTTCTATTTCTCCCTCTAATGGCGGGTCCTTCATACATGTCTTTTATGATATTCAAATATTTAGCATGAAGTCCTTTCTTTTCCTATGCCACCAAATGACATTTCTTGATACTTTATCATATTCTTTCTCCAAGTCGATAAACCATGTGTAGATCTTTTTTCCTCTCAATATAAATTTTCTAAATCTTCTTAGCAAAAATATACTAGCTTTTGTTGTGGATCTACTGGGTATAATTACAAACTGATTCTCAATGACACTTATAGTGTCCTTAAGTCTATGTTATATCACTCTTTCCTAGAATTTTATCGTAGCATGTATATAATGTATTAGATAGAGAATCAAATAAGTGGCTAGTTCACCAAATTCACACATCAGATTGATGATTTGATATCTGGGTGACTTTGGACAAAAATGCAAAGGAGAAGGAAATGGGGCCAAGCCAACTTTTTGTCGGCTCATGTTTTAAACGGCTTAAAGAAGGGAAAATATAAATTGTGTTTTTGTAGAAAAAATTAAGAGAAACAAAAATACAGAGGGATCTTTGGGGGAGGCGTTAAGTAGGGTCAGAACTGCTTTTTGAATCATCTATGGACGTTACTGTTTAGGAGAACTTTTTTGAAAAGGGACACAAAGCATTAGCTCAAGAAACAACAAAAAACTAAGAAGAGTCTTTTATATAACCGGTAAATTCGGAAATCGCGATTTATAGTATATAGTGATATTTTCATACTTTAAGATTATTATATAGAAGATTCTTCTTAACTTTTCATTGTTTCCTGAGTAAACATACTCATTTAATTCTCAACTTCATACATTATATGGATGTATATTATGCTCACAAGTGCATGCATGTACAAATTATACAAATATATTCTACAATTACTTGTTTCGATATGTAAATCATTAAAATAAGAAAACTATAATAAATGACATAACTCAAAATTCACTTTGATATCTACATATGTACTTAAGGGCAAGCACAGTCCCCGAAAATGTCCGGTTGTTACAAAAAGAGAGAAGGATACGAAAACACAATAGCGGTTAGTAGGAATCATCCCACAATGGGAAAGACTCACCTTAACCCTCTAGTTTATGACCCTCTAAAGATACAAAGACAGTATCCTCTTTGAAGAATGAATTGCTAGCATCTGATAATGATCTATTCTCGTGAAGGCGCACTGAATATAAAAGAAGTATGGCAAAGCCGAAAAATTGTAATTTAGTTTTAGGCAAACTTAAGTACCTACCTAGGAGATTCTATTTTAAAACTATTAGATAATGTTCAAGCTATTCCTATGTAATCTATGTCTATAAACATACTAAGGCACTAAGTTTATAAAAAGATCAGTCGTCATTTACATGCACTCACTCGCCATTGAGTAAATATACTGAGAGCAAAGTGGTGGGCTCAGGCCTAAGAGGACAATGCTATTGGAATAAAATATAATAGTTAATCTTGTTGGTGGATTGCTTGGTTGATTCCATTGCACTAATCCCTCATCTTTGGTGAATCCTTCACATTTGAACTCCTTCTATTCACTTTAACTAGTTTAACCTATTTGCACAAAAACTATTCCAGGAACTATCTCCAGAATTTAAGCAGCATTTGGACAATAATTGAAAAAATGTTAGTGAAAACTTTAGGTGTGTTTGAATGATTCTTTTCGCATGAAGAGTTTCTTGAAAACATTCGTCAGAAACACCCCGAAACTACAACTTCAAAAAACAGTATTGAAAAAGAATTTTTTTGCAAACACAGCTTAAGATACCTTGACAAACACCAATTTAATTTTATTTTTTGCATATTCTAAAGAAGAAAAAAATCATTGGCAAAGCCACCTAAAAAGAACAGAAGCTTTTTATTTAAAAGGAACAAATTCAGGCAGCCCATGATCTCAATTTTTTCTCAAGTTAATAAATGTATGTTGAACATCAGATATGTACTTGGCACCCACAAGGCCTTGGAGATGGGAGAGAAGTGTATTTTAAAAAAATAGTAACAACAGAAGCATTAAGAGATACCTTCCTCCCCTCACCCAATCTTTGCCTAACTATTTGCCCGAGAGTTGGCTGCAAATTAATAAGAAGAAGTCACTTATCCACCAATTATATATAAAGGGATAAGGGGCAAATCAAAAATATTTTTCTACCTTTACGGGCTGAAAGAACTCATCAATGACATTTTGTGCATTTGAATCCTCTGAAGGGGGGCTAACTTCTGAAGTCGGTATATTTTCACTAAAATGTCTGCTTACACCAGAACTACCAGGTGTAACAGCTTGTTGCTTAGGATGCCTCCTCTGTGGTCCACTAGGTGATCTCAATATTCTCCAGATAAATACTATTGCAAATGCAAGACCTGCTATAGCTCCTGCAGATCTTGAGTCCTGCATTTACAAAAAATAGATGTTACCATCTAAGAGAATGTAGCACAACATTTAAAACATATTTCTTTGGAATGCCATGGGATTTATTTTAGTTTTTTAAAAAGAGCTATTGTAACACTACTTCCTGTATGATAGAAAGATTACATCTGCAAGCAATTAGATAAATGGCAGTTTATTGGTTTTGGAATTGCTTGTTCTGTGTCCATTGTCTTCCTCAATTTTACAAGTGATAGAAAAAATTCTGGCAGACACACTTTAGAAGTCCCGAAACACTCCATTGTGCAGTCATCTAATTCTACAATTTGATATTTCTCAGGCTATGGAGCAGTTGTCTTAAAACTATGTGCAACATACTGGGTCATGCCAAAGCCAATGATTTTCAGAAAATTCGATCCAAACCGGGGAAAAAAGTTACCATCATGTTGTCAAAATTAAGTGTGTTGAAAACCATCAATATTAGATGGGACTTTAAGTACTAACTAGAAATAAACAGTGGATTTTAGTGAAGACACATAATGAGGGAAATAATGATTTATATAGGTAATGCAAGAAAAATAACTACAAAAGGAACAACAATTATATAGACAAATGAACTAAAAAACCTACAAAGGAATGAAATATATGAAGTTATAACAATGCAAATCAAATCTGAAAATCATTTCAAACTTCTGATAGATGTGCAAATGTGCAAAAGTTTCTAGTTTAGACTAGTAACTGGTCTCCAAATACTAAATTCTAAATTTTATTCCTAATCAGAAAAAGTCCATTGCCATAATACTTCTTAACAATTATTATATCACTGGTTCTGCCTCCTACAAAGATATAACCCGTGGAACAATCAAAATTTAGCATTCCATATCTGCTTGTTCTCCCCTCTCTGATTCCCAATGAACCATATGATCTTGACCTATAATCCTTCGAATTGGTCCAATCATATGTAATTAAACACTAATACCTAATCATATCTAACCTGAATGGATTTTTTAGGTACAATTCCACCAACGTTTGTTCAGGCAAAACCATCACCTAAACAAGCTGAAGCACTGGGTCTACTTTCAGGGTTTAAGCATGCGGTAGTCGAACCTTTAACAACACTGATAATCAACAAATTAGTCAGTAAAACTATCTGAATCTTCACAAACATTGTTTATATAAGAAGTAATGGTCAAAAACACACATGAACTATCACCTTTTCACGAGTTTCACACCCCAACTAAAAACTGTTCTCCTACCTGAACTATCACCATGTTCCTCCTTACTTGAACTATCACCATCTATGTATTAAAACACACCTTGAAGCTCACTAGGACAATTATGAGTTGTTCCCTTTTCCTACCTGAACTACACAAGCATTGTTTATACAAGAGGTAATGGTCAAAAACACACCACAACTATCACCTTTTCACCTATCTCTTACCCAACTATCAACCATTCCCTTTTCCTACTGAACTATCACCATGTTCCCCTTCTCTAGCTCAATTGTCACCATTCATGTATTAAAACACAGCTTGAAGCAGAGTAGGCCAATTATGAGTTGTTCACTTTCCCAACCAAAACTATCTAAATCCTCAAAACCATTGTTTATATTAGAGGTAATGGTCAAAATCACATCTAAAAACTATTATTGTTTTGTGAATTTCACCTCGACTATCAACTGTTTAGTTTCCCTACTGAACTATCACCATGTTCCCCTTTCCTAGCTCAACTATCAGCATTCATGTATCAAAACAGACTTCAAAGCTAACTGGACCAATTATGAGTTGTTCCATTTTCCTATCTGAATTATCACTATCTACTCAACTAGGTGATAGATAGTTCAGTTGGGAAAATCAAACAATTGACAGTTGAGATCTGAAACTCACCAAAAACTGATAGTTCAAATTTGTTTTTGGCCATTATCTCTTCATTAACACAATAATATAAAATTAATTCCTCAATTTCACCAAAAAGGATCAAAAATTAAATTCCAAATAACAAGCGCGAGAGCGAGAGAGAGGAAAAAACCAGTGTTTGTGAGAGATTAGAAATCTTGAGAGTAAGAAATGCCCCAATTCTCTTGAGGAGCTGGAGGAAATCGTCCTTGGAGGAATCAGCCATAACCTCTGAAATCTTCAAAGTTGAAAGAATTCAGTGATTCGTTGGTAGTGTGGAGCCGATGAAGATTGATCAAGTTCTCCGCTGTTGCAGAATGTTCTAGAAGAAATCGATCTTGCAGAGGAAGCTTCGATTGAAGAAGAAGAAAAAAGGTAGGAAAAAGGATACATCTATTTTCATGGTTGGCCAATATTAGGACCAGCATTTAAGTCGTAACCGAAATTTATTTTATAAATTTTACAAGTTTTGACTATTTTAGAAAATTTCAAATCATATACTCCACCCTTCCTATTTTATGTGACACTTTTCGCATTTCAAAATTCAAACAAGTCTATTTTTTACCGTAAGTTTTTCATAGATCCTTTTAACATTTTAAATTATTAATTATTGTGACTTATAGTACTTTTTATGTAGTTTACAAATATATAAATTTCATTTCAAAAAAATTGAAGATTCCATACACAAATGTCCGGTCAAAGTTAAACTGTTTGACTCTCGAAAAATGAAAAGTGGCACATAAATTGGGACAGAGGGAGTATCATATATATATATAAAAGAGAACCCTAGGTCCTCCTACGTGGTGCCACCACAAACCAGGATTCCTTTTAATTTATTTATTTTCATAACTAGCCTTCCCTTTTCATGAAAAGTTGTGACTTTTATAAAAAGATGAGACTTTTATGAAAAGTTGTGACTTTTATGAAGAGTTACGACTTTTATGAAAAATTGTGACTTTTATTAAAGGTTGTGACCTTTTCGAAAGGTTGTTAGTTTTTCAAAGAGTTGTGACCTTTCCGATAAGGTACAATAAACATTTGTTCACACTACCATTTGTTTTCTATAAATAGAGGGATTTCCTGCCACTATTATTTGTAGGTGTTTTTTCGATGTATGGTAGTCGAATTCAAATACATTAACTAAGTTTCTTACGAAGTTTGTTTCATTCCTCAAAGTTTTCTTCCTCCTATTTCATGGAGCTTAATCTTTACTATAAGTCATAGTGATTCATGTAATTATGACAATTTCTTTTTGCTATTTTGGTGACTTTTCTTTTACTTTGTTAAAAATTTCAGCAAAAATGATTGAAAACTTATCTTCTCTTTTGTCCCTTTCTACATGTTTTTTCATATACTTTTTGGAAAAATTGCTTGTGGGTTGTTCTATATTTGATAGCACACAATAACAAATATGTGATAACTAATACGGAACCAATGATGAAGTTTGTTAAAAGAACCAAACAGATTGCTCTCTTACTTGCCACAATTAATATATTATTTGATTGATTTTTCTTAGGTACAAACAATTCGTATGTCATTGCACTCTTCCTAGAATATTAGTATAGACACAAGTAGTCAACTTTTTTGTCGCAAGTTAAGTAATTTGTCATATTTCTCCGTCTCTTCTTTTTGGGCATAATAAGAGATCAAGTTTTCTTGAAACAAACAAATGTCCAAATACACTATAACCAAAATAATTTTTATAGGCAATAAATATGCACGTTAACAAAGAGTGCTTGAGCCTTTACTGATATTAATTAATTGTCATTAGATTCAATGTTGCTATAAATTTTAGGGACATTTATAAAGAGTACCAATTGCCTGTGAAAATACATATTTAGCGACAGTTAAGCTATTAATTGCCATTAAATATCATTTTTACTGTAGTGATAACTCTTTATTTTGATAAAGTTTTTTGTTTTTTTTATAAAGAAGTGACAACTCTTTCTTTTTGATATTTCAATTAAATTTGTGACCGAAGGGTTGTTACTTTTCCAAAGAGTTGTGACCTTTCCGATAAGGCACAATAAGTATTTTGTCATTTCCTGAGTCTACACCCCAGACGTGACTGGCACTTGAGAACCATTGATGACCCCAAGCGAACCCTTGGCCTAGCTTACTTAACTCAATGGAAGATTTAACTTAACAAGATAATCTCAAAACATAACTTTAAAGAGAAATAACACTTAGCCAAAACGGCAACTGAAGTCTTTAAACAACATATGAATGATAAAGTAAAGGCAATTGAACTATTAACTGTCTGTGAAGCCTCTAAAACAAGGAGGGATGTCGAGACAGGACCCCCGGTCATCCTAACAACTGATAACTAGAAAATCAAGGTAAAAAGAAGCCATCCGGAAGCAAGGAGGCTCACCAACTGACTCTGAGTGCAGAACCTGATCAACAAGGCGCTGGATACTGATCCTGGTTACCTACGTCTGCATCATAAGACGATGAAGGCCAACTAGCATCAGTACATTGAATGTATGAGTACGCGAGTTGGAATGCTAAACACAACTTAAGCTTGAAAGGAATCTCAAAGAAACACTTACCTTGACTCTTTTCAACTCATGAATACTTAACTTAAAATAAAGCAATGAAACACATGCAATATATGAAAAGCTTTGTAAAATAGTAAAAACAACTTAGTTTGTTAAAGAAAATGCAATAATAAACTCAACTTTACTCATATAATAAAGTAATATAGTTTTTGTGGGAGTTTCTCTAACAGACAACCACCACTATGAGCCTAAGTGGTGATACAACGTCTTGCCCACGCTGCCAGAACTGTCCTATACTTTGTCGTCATATAGAACGCTTAACTTAGTGGATCCACTAGTCTATGCTAAAAGCATCTTAAGGATTCATCTAAAAAGTATGATCTTTTACTACCCATGATGGCTACATGATTTATGGAGACTTGAGTTAATATGAACTCGCATCCTCATATCGGTGCTCAATACTACTCCCGAAATATACTTAGCTCATATGTTTTAAAAACAAACTTCTTTCTTTGGTTTGAGATAATTACTCAAAACTTAGCTTAAAAGCTCTCTTGGAATCGATATTCCCTTTTCTTACTCAAATGTGAAAAACATTTATAAACTCTTTAGGAATACTTAGTTCCCTTATAGCTTTTTGAGAAATGAACTCAACTTTTTACTCTTTGCTTAACTTGAAACTTAAATCTTAAAACAAAGTTAAAACGTTTGTTAAAGACTTTGGAAAACTTTATAAACTTTGCTTTGACTTGCTTCTTAACTTTTAGACTTGACTCTTAACTTCTCTTGACTTTGATCTTAACTTTCCTTGAATTGGATTATGGATTCAAGGTTCATGATCTCATGTTTAAGGATGATTTCATGATGTTTAGATATACCTTAGAGTATTGGAATCAACTAGAAAACATAGGTACATTGCTAAGAAACAAGTACAAAAATGTGGGGAAGAAATGGGGAGAACTGGCGTCCCTGGCGCTCTGAGAGGCACGGGGCACCATCCCTCAAAGTTCAAAGAGCTTGTTGTGGCGCTCTGGCTGGTAAGGCGCGCCAGAGCCCAAAGTTCAGAGGAAATTTTGTGGCGCTCTGGGAGGCGCGGCGCCCTAGTCCCCTCCCCAGAAAACTCCGAACTTTCTTCTTCATTTTTCAACTCTAAACCCTCTAATTTTCACTTGGTTCTTTCCCCAAACACTTAGAATCATTAATACCCTCAATATACAATAGATTCAACTCGAAATCACACCCGAAAACATGAATCAAATCATCAAGAAACTTCAACAACACAATCCACAAGAATTTAACGAAACTTTCAGCAATGTTCATCAAGAACTCAATTTCTAAACTTCGAAGACTTAAATTCGTTGAATTGAATCATGGTTGGTGCGTGGGCGAACTAACCCAACACTATGTGATCTCACATACCTTTTAGGGATCATCCCGACGAAATCCACAAGCTATCCTTGACAAAATCGACGAATCTTGAACGTTCTTCTCCTTTCTCCTCTTCTCCAAGCCCTAGAGTGAAATTCACTTTTCTAAAACTGACTAAAATCTAACTTTATCCCAATTAAACTCCTAAAAATGAATTAGAATAATTAGGTAAGAAAAATACTAAATTACCCTTCCAAAATCCGGATTAGACTTTATTCCTTAATCCAACAGCCCAACTTCCAAAGAGCATAACTTACTCATACAAACTCGGAATCGCGCAAACTCAGCAGAGTTGGAAAGTCATTCCAAGAGCTTTCCAACCATATGCGCAAACTAGGAGTTATGACCGTTTGAAGTTGACCAAAACTCAATTTTTCCTAACTTAAACAAATTTTCAGATTTTCATTCTTTCCAAAAATGACTATTTCCAATTATTAGCTTCTTCCTAGTTATTTTAAATTGCGAGATATTACACATTTGTTCACATTACCATTTATTTTCTATAAATAGAGGATTTTCCTGCCACTATTATTTGTAGGTGTTTTTTCGCTGTAGGGTAGTCGAATTCAAATACATTAATTAAGTTTCTTATGAAGTTTGTTTCATTCCTCAAAGTTTTCTTCCTCCTATTTCATGGAGCTTAATCTTTACTATAAGTCATAGTGATTCATGTAATTATGACAATTTCTTTTTTATATTTTGGTGACTTTTCTTTTACTCTGTTAAAATTTTTTGCAAAGATGATTGAAAATTTATCTTCTCTTTTGTCCCTTTCTACATGTTTTTTCATATACTTTTTGGGAAAATTGCTTGTGGGTTGTGCTATATTTGATAGCACTCAACAAAAAATATGTGATAACTAATATGGAACCAATGATGAAGTTTGTTAAAAGAACCAAACAAATTGCTCTCTCGCTTGCCACAATTAGTATATTATTTTGATTGATTTTTCTTAGGTACAAACAATTCGTATGTCATTGAACTCTTCCTAGAATATTAGTATAGACACAATTAGTCAACTTCTTTTGTCGTAAGTTAAGTAATTTTCATATTTCTTTGTCTCTTCTTTTTGGGCATAATAAGAGATCAAGTTTTCTTGAAACAAACAAATGTCCAAAATACACTATAACAAAAATATTTTTTATAGGCAATAAATATGCACATTAACGAAGAGTGCTTGAGCCTTTACCGATATTAATTAATTGTCATTAAATTCAATGTTGCTAGAAACTTTAGGGACATTTATAGAGAGTACCAATTGCCTGTTAAAATACATATTTAGCGACAGTTAAGCTATTAATTGCCATTAAAAAACATTTTTACTGTAGTGATAACTCTTTATTTTGATAAAGTTTTTTTTTTTTTTTGTAACAAAGAAGTGACAACTCTTTGTTTTGGATTATATCAATTAAAATTTGTGAACTGTAAACTTGGATACAGCCCGAT